AAAAAAAGTAAATTGAATACTGTATTATTTTTAAGTGATAGGAGGGAAAGCAGACTTTTAAACATGATTATATTAGTCTACTTAACCTTATATCTGTTTTATGAAACCAAGGAAGGGAATTCTGAATGTTGAAATATGTAAAAACTGAATAAAAATAAATTTTTTAAAAAGTGATTTAAATCACTGATTTTTATTTTAAAAATCAAGTTGATTTAAATTTAAAAAATCAACTGATTTAAATCAACCTGATTTAAATCAACCCAACCTTGAATATAGGAGATATATTATGTAATTATTATGCGCATATCTATATAGTAATTGAACCCCAAATTGTTGTGATCACTCTTACAATTGAACATTTATAAAGACTTGATAAGTACAGCTAAGCCTACATCATAATTTTTGCACGTAACAACGATATCTACTGCCGTAAATTTCAAGTGGTTGCCTTGACTTCATGAACAATGAAATTATGTTAGCTGTACCTATCGCTCCATTAGTGTGGTTACACGTATATGTCACGACCTAGATCTACCGATTACTACCAACCAATGTAAACTATGCAAATTTCTTTTTTTTAATGTACCAAAATGGCTTTTAAAAATTGGCGCCGTAGTTGTTTTTTTTTTTCGTGAATTACCATTACTATTATTATCATATTCATCAACAACATTAGCAACAAAAACAAAAACAAAAATAGGCCAAGATTGTCAGAGAAAAAGAAAACCCCCGCTAAATTCCAAATAAATAGGCTAGAACTGGGGAACCACTGGGAGTCACGAAGAGCGGAGAGACAACCTGGGGGCTACCATATTGGCCTTTTCTCTGCTTAGGCCTACGTCCATAGTTTTGGTTTCTTTAGATAATGACAACGCGTGCCCATTATTGCTCAAGAGGAATAAAATGTATTAGATCTATTTCAGATCAAATGAAAGTTTAAAAAATAGATTATGATCAAACTCCTTGTTTTCGTTTCTGTGTCTTCATTTAATTATTGTGTGTGTGTGTGGTGGGCGGGGTGGGTGCAGAGGAGTGTGTTGCTAAGAGAGAGAGAGAGAGAGAGAGAGAGAGAGAGAGAGAGAGAGAGAGAGAGAGAGAGAGAGAGAGCAAAGTTAAGTTAAACTGCACATCATTTCTAGTATCATTCTGTTGTTGTTGTTTTTTTAGTTTAGTGAGTCTTTTCTAAATGAAAATGATTCTTTCTTTGTCAAAAGTTTAAAAAACAACAACAAACTCTCACCCTATACAATGGTCGATATATACATTCTAAGCCCTCGAGCGGAGACAAAAAAGTTTTCGAGGTCGCTCAAAGACTAACTGTTATTACACACACCGATGGATATGGATGTTTCGTAATACAGGACGTGATAATTTGCTGGAAAAATCATTTAACAAATTAATAAGAATCGTTTTATCTTATAACATAATGTGCAGTGGTGCACTCTAAACCTGAATCGTTTCGGTAACGGTTTTGACTGACAGCCTCACAGCTGCTCTGGCAATCATGTGAAACCGGAACCTGTAGTGTAAGGACTATTACTCCGTACGCACATAAGCTGCCCGGTCACCGACCACAAAGCCCACTTTTACTTCATCCAACGGCAGTGTAGACCAGCGCATTCTTTGACAATTATACATTACATCCTTTTTCCCTCCTGTACTCTCCGTTACTTCGCTCAAAATACCTATTTTTCAACTTTCCAGTAAGTTGCAACGTATCGATGTTTTCCTATCTTTCTTCTATGTTGCTTGTCCATCAGACAGCCCCTCTGGAAGCAGTTTTCCCAGCGCAATATGCTTCAAGCTTTGTCGATACTTGTCGTGTTGTGTTTCCGACGCGTGCAGAAACTATAAAAAACAAAAACAAAACGTGTACATGCTTGTGGGTGTGTTGTTGTAAAGAAAGACAGACTAACACAGAGAGAGAGAGAGAGAGAGAGAGAGAGAGAGAGAGAGAGAGAGAGAGAGAGAGAGAGAGAGAGAGAGGGAGAGGGAGAGGGAGAGGGAGGGAGAGAGAGAGAGAGAGAGAGAGAGAGAGAGAGAGAGAGAGAGAGAGAGAGAGAGAGAGAGAAAAGAGAGAGAGAGCGGGAGATCAATTATCATATGTTCCTGGGGTGCTCCTCTCTACTCTGACAGTTGTAAATATGGTAATCCTAACGACATTTAAACGTATTAAATACTCCACTGCATAGAGAATTTCTGACTGTGTGTATCTACGTGTCTGTGCGTGTGTGTATGTGTGTGTGTGTGTGTGTGTGTGTGTGTGTCAGTGTGTGTGTGTGTGTGTGTGTGTGTGTGTGTTGTGTGTGTATTATGTGTGTACATGTGTGTGCCTCTGTGTGTGTGTGTGTGTGTGTGTGTGTGTGTGTGTGTGTGTGTGTGTGCGCGCGTGCGTGCGTGCGCGCGTGCGTGCGTGTATGCGTGCGTGTATGTGTGTGTAAATGTGTTTGTGTAGGTGTGTGTCTGTAAGTATCACTGTGTGTGTACATGTGTGTGCGTGCGTGTATGTGTATCAATACGATTTCTCCTCTGCCCTATTTTACTTAATCATAATGAACATGCAGGTACGAGCATGCACCATTCAAAGAGGAGACATTTCATGCCCTTGTAAAATCTTTATAATATGTATACATATAATAGGTGTGTGCCTCCAAATGAACAACTCGATATCAGGAAGCATGATTAACGTATTTTTTTTCGGGCCTTGGTCTTTTGGGGAGGGACTGCGCAAACATTCACTAGTCTATATAACCAGGATACATATCCTACGTCTGTAATGTGTGTCGTCAAGCATAAGAAATTTTAATGCTTTTTTGTTCTCGTTGTTGACGTCTCTATGAGACGTAAAAACCTTCATAACACGAAGAACTATATATTTACTTAGAAGCGCCATAAATCATGTGATAAAAATAAGGTCAAGTTCTATATATATATATATACGAGGCTGATCATGAGTGGAACTTGAAATATCCACGAGTTCTTTTATTTTGGCAATTATATAACAATGGGGATAATTAATGATAGACTCCAAAGGTAGTTCACATGATTAAGGAAGATCGAGGAGGAAGAGGAGGATCAGGGGGAGGAGGAAGAGGGGGAAGAGGAGGAAGAGAAGCAGGAATAATAATAAGAAGACGAACTTAATGGTTCTGTGAGGTTAGCTTAAAAATCCAGGATAATTGATTAAAGCTGTATGCAGGACAAGACTGAATTACTGTCAGCAGAACTCGTTAGACTATCAATATAAGAATTATTAAAGAGGATGCTTCGAAAATTAAAACAACAACAACAACAACAACAACAACAACAACAACAACAGACAAACGAAACCACTGAAGAAAGCTAACGCGAGCTGCTCAAAATTTAACAATTAAACTGCCGTTAATGTTGGGAACCACAGGAGAGAAAAAAAAAAAGAAGAATAGATTACAAAAGGATTAATGTGGACAGGCAGACTTGTTATACGATACTTGTGGTGTGCTTGAATATTTACGCGATAGGAACTGGAAAGAGGAAAGGGTTTTTTGGTTGTTTTTTTTTTTTTTTTTTTTTTTTGGGGGGGGGGGGGGTCGAGAGAATATGCAAAGTGTCAAAGAACATGTACTACTAATTTGAGAGGTACATCGACGCAGGTGTACATTTTTTATTGTACGGGCCGTACTGCCGATCCTGACGTCATAGCGCTCATATAATATACATCAGAGAACATATTTTTGGCGCTTGAACCTTGCTAGCCTTATCAGTTGGGTGCGCGCGGGGTAAGCTTTATTAGACACCGCCCACACCAAGCCTAAAGGGAATCTCTTCGAAATCACTTTCTTTCTTGGCAGTACATATTCATACGTTGAAAGGCGCCTTTTCGTGATTAAGCTATAGATTATGGCGCAAAGCCAACTCCAGCTGACAGTATTGTCACCGGGCTGTTCCTGACTGATCAATAGAAGGCGATCGCCGGCATTATATCTGTCCGTATCGATTTTTCTCCATGATTAACGGCCCGATCAATACTCGGGGTAGGTTTCGAAAGTTGGCCTTGCTTGCGCGCTCTTCTTCTTTCCTTGCCCCAGCCCGCAAGGCCGTCCCATGAATCATTGCGGAGCGCATCGCCTGGCGACAACACACTATGCTAAGATGGCGGCCGATGAAACGTAAAAAGGTGACCATTGTTGGATTTTTCGAGGCTCTCTGCTTCTTTTATATAGACGCTGTATGGTTTTTCTAAGAGGGATCTATTGGATTGTGTTCGTTGATATTGGATTTAGATAGTGAATCAATTTACTGTACAAATGGAGAGGAGTGTTTTCATGTTTTTTTTTTCTTTCGTCAACAATTCATTCATTGATCGAGTCAAATAATAACAGCGGACAGGACAATATCAATAATAATTCTGCAGAGTGTCACTGTAAGTATACGACCACTGTTGCTTTTTCACAAGGACAGATTGCTCAGTAACTGCTACGGACCAGCATTTTTCTTGAGAAGTGATTTAAAGCCTTTGAAGTTATTTTGCCAACGTAATATAATATCCTCCCTTCTTATGGTTTTATTATTGTTGTTAATGAGTTAATGTTGTTTGAAGGAAAACTTCTGTCGATGTAAAGGCTATTCTACCTTGCTATTCCGTCTGATGATTGAACAGTAAAAAGCTGTGTCATTTAACTGGAGAAAATTGACTGCTTAACAGAGGACTCTGTCATGCGTCACTTAAACTTTAAAAATAAAATGGTGTATGGTGGAGTCCTACACAGGTGATGTACGTAGGCCTAATGTTCAAAGTAGCCTATTTAACTCACAGCCCAGTTAGATTATCCATGATTAATAATGATAGTGAGCAATAAGTGAGAGCAGACACCTTTCAAAGGGAAAGTGAATGTTGCATCAATTTCACTGGCTTGCATTTGCCGTCCAACAACTCCATTTCTGCCCTTTGGATCTGATGTGTGTGTATTTTTAGCCATTATAATAAGGTTGTGAGTGAGTCTGATAACTGTTGCTTACTCATACTTTTTTCCTAACTAAAACAGAATAAAAAAGAAGGCAAGTGAAGCTAAGAGGTGCTTGTGTGTTATTATACCTTATTTCAGTACTAGTGTCGATACAGCGAGTGTAGCAGATTTGTAGATAATGTGTGGAATTTCTCCCTTGTTTATGGATGCTTGACAGCACATTATTGACATTGTTTCTAAGACAAGTGATAATTTCCTGATACATGTTAAGTATTGTTTCTAGTTATAAATAGTCTAGTAGGCCCATACCCTCTATGTCATTGGTCATGTCGTAATGACTAAATTTAGTCTTTTTAAATGTTCTTTTTAAAATATCTAAAGTAGAGAAAAATATGTCAATATCTTATAATTTATTTTTCTGTCGTTTATTCCTGTACAAAATGTTTTAAGTATTATGACATTGGAGAACACGAACCTTATAAATCATTCATTGTTCCTTTTGTTTTCTCCCTAGTTTTGAGGATCTTGACAATGATTCTGACACTATAAGTGATGGTTGCACAGAATATCACAGCACAGCCAGCTTAATCAAATCAAGTGAAGACGACTGAGCCATGGCTGAACTAAAGTCTCAGTCGAAGGTTGGGGGTGGGGAGCAGAGTTTGACGGTGAGTGTGTCCCGTTGGACGTTGTGTGAGCGCGATGGGGATGATGTTGTTGTGCCTGTTTCTCGAGTTACATGACTTAGGGCTAATATACATGCACTGTGATGGAAAAATAACTTGCCCTGACCATCTACAAAAAATGATAAGAATAATAACATTATTATTGTGAATTTATATTGTGCCTAATCCCTAGAGGGATTTAAGAGCTGGGCTATACGTACAGAAATATCTCTCAACTTAACCCTAGAGTTATAGGACACTTAAAATGCATACTGTAAAACCATTTAACAACACACACACACACACACACACACACACACACACACACACACACACACACTGTCACACACTCATACATAAACACACACACACACACACACACACACA